TTTGAAAACTCCAACAACTCTACTAAACATACCAAGTATTAAATAGATTATTTCATCGTTACTTTATTTTAAATTGACGATAAAATAACATATTTGCTAGTTGGACTGTTCACAAATGTTTCCTTTTAGAAATGACAGATGAGTCGGGTGATGTTACATTTACATTTACATGTTCTATAGTTTTTTCTGTCAACAATCCCATGTAAAGACCAAAACCCTTCTTCCTCTGTGTCATAGAGTCACACTGTTGCACTGGGTGACATGTTCCTTCATTAAAATGATCATGTGCACTGGAGTTTATTTTGAGTCAGTCCTGCTGCCCTAATACTCGCTAGTGCACCAAATCTGCAGCTGAAAGTTTGAAAGTTGTTAGTTGATATGATGAACTTACTAGCAAACAGTTGCTCATTTACACATCCAGCAGAGCAACATTATTATTTAATTGGAGTCATGAGTCTGGCTAGTCAGAACTGTAAAGTTGCAGCCCAGAAAACCAAAACAATCAGCCAAAAGATGCTAAAACTGAGAGCTGAGAGGAAGGGCAGAGTTGTGTGTTAATTCTCTGTGGATCATCAGTACAAGCAACACCTTTTCCATTACACATGGCCATTTGATCCATTGTTATTATCCACATTTTGATTATAGCCTTTGAAGTCTTTGCTAGGAACTAATGGGATTGAGGCTGAATGCCACAGACAGGGTTGGAAAGATGCAAAGTCTTGAGACACATTTGTTTTTTTCCTGAGATTTGTTGACTGTAACAAAAACAAAGAATATTGCCAGCCTTGTCCTTTAACCTTATGGAGCATTTCCACTTGTGAAAATGGCTTAGAATCTGTGTAACTCTGCTGTGATTACATGATTCAACAGATCTTGCATATTGTCATGACAGCTCGAGGATAGTTTGAAAAGTGCACTTTATAGGTTTAGATTTAATAGCTGGTGTTAACTCTTTTGTGCTGTAGACTCTTCAGATGAAATGCACGCTGAGAGTTTTAGATTTTGTACAGAGTGGCTCTTTGATGAAAAATGTGATTATCGATTACTGTTTTGAGGCTAATGGTCTCTTAAGTGTAGCGAATGAAATACAGGGCATTTTTGAAGTCCGTAAATACTTCTGTTAGCAACATTTTCCATAATTTGTGCTATTTGTTTGCGTCCCAACTTTACAACACAATTTAATGAGCCATTGCAATTTGCCATTGGTCTGTAATGAGTGGAGAGAGTTGGTCTAAATTAAGTCAACTCTCCAATTGCAACTCTCCAATTGCTCCAGAGCACATGTGATTCAAACTTGAGTGCAGGTGATAAACTAAACACTTAAAATCACTACAGTCAAGTAACTGTCTGTTTAATAAGTAAGTAATCTGTTTTTAACTTTCCCCCTATTTCAGTTTCCCACAGTCTGATAACCATTAGATCAGATTCTTCTTCTTCTTCTTCTTCCCTTAAAACTGTCAAATGGTAATTAATGGATACTAATGGCACCATTTCCATCGAGTTCCTTCTGGTTGAATCTCTAGTGTGTGATTATGTGTGCAAGCATCATTAGAGCATAACATAATTTTCTATGTTGAGCTGAGCATTCTTTATTTAATGTTAATTAATAAATATTCTCCCAGGGCTCTGTTATAATTGGATTGGCACACATATGATTTCCTGCCTTATCAAGTTCTGCTGAATGAAATGACTCATATTGTTTTCGGAGTGGAAAGAGCAGAAAGCGTTTACAGAGGTCAGCGGCAGGATCATTTGTCTGGACTGCTGATTTCAGTCGTAACAATTTTGCAAAAATTGATTAAATTTTTAAAATGACAAAGTCTTTGTCTGGAAAGTCACACAGTGTTTGCATCTTGACTGTCTTTTGCTTTAATTATTGTCCTGTTTTCCCTAATGCGTCTTGACACAGTAGTCTGGAGTAATGGCTCTGAAATGCTACACTGAATCGATGCCTGGTGCCTTTTCCTCTCTTAGGTAATTTACTTGGTAATGAGAGACGGTGCCGAAGACTGTCTCTGCGCACACAGAGTAGATGTAATCTGTTTTCCCTATTATTCAGTTGGGTTAGACTTGGGCTACTAATTAATTAACTATGAAACACTGAAATAGGATTTTACTGAAGGGCTTAATTTGGGTAATCGCCGCCCCTCACCTTCCTCTAACCCAAAAGTGCCTAACTGTCCCTCACTGAACTTTGTCACTATCTTTGACAAAACCAGATAATTCAATGTCTGGTATAAATGTATAAAACCTACACAAGTCTATGTGTGTTAAGGCCATAATGTGTGTGTGTGTGTGTGTGTGTGTGTGTGTGTGTGTGTGTGTGTGTGTGTGTGTGTGTGTGTGTGTGTGTACATGTGTGGATATGTGAGGGCTTATATTCCCTCTTGTCTCTATAAAACAATCTGTATCAATCAGTGTTGATCTAAATGACCCGGCATGTCAACAGCAAACCCACAGGAGAGTGGTTCTGAATGCGAGAAATGAGGTCAAAAAAGCCATTTTGGGTATCATAAAGGAAGTATTGTCTAGATATTGATGTCATTTATTACCTGACAAGAATGGTTATAGACAGGTTGGTGGGAAAAGGGTGGAAAACGCTGGCCTAATGCTCCAAGACAGGAGACTGAAATTGAGGATAGACATGATGAAAAAATATATTAACCTTGGCCTGGAAGTGAACTGGTTGATCTTTCAGCACGATTTATGTCGTGTATTTATTTGTTGACAAATATACCATCTGCTGTTCTGTGAATAAGGGGCATGCCATTGTGTGTGTGTGTGTGTGTGTGTGTGTTAGCGTGTGCATGCATGTGTGTGCACATTGCCCCTGGGATAGAAGTATGTGTACTATTATGTGTGCAGACAAATATCATAATATAATATAATCATATGATATATACACATCGAAGTGGAAAACCTGCACATGAAAAATCAAATATCAGCAGATGAGGAGTTGTGATTAACGTTGGTCAGAAAGTTTCCAAGTACATGTGTAACAGCTTGCACAATGCGTACAGTAAATATATATAATACTTATATATACATAAGTAGTTTTTTTATGTGACTTTGCTGTACTTTGTGCTTTTTAGCATGGCTCTAGTCGTTGCAATAAGGTCAGTCGGTTAGTCCACCACTCTGGTCCAAACTATTGGATGGATTGCAATGAAAGTTTGTACAGACATTCATGGTCTCCAGAAGACGTATCCTACTGACTTTGGTGATCCCCTGATGATTCCTCTAGCACCACCAAGAGGTTAACAATTTTGGTTTTGAGCAAAAGTATTGGAAGGATTGTCTTGAAATTTGGTACAGACATATCACCTCAGGATGAATTGCGAGTACTTTGGTAATCCTCTGACTTTTTATCTAGTGCCATCATCAGGTCATATTTAAATTTTTACTACACTTTGGTTATGACCAAATATCTGTAAAACTACTGACATTATCATCATCTTCAGCTGAGCTTTGTGTTTAGAACTAATTAGCAAATGTTAGCATGTACACTAAACTAAGATGGAGAACATGGTAAACATTAACGTATTAGCATTGTCATTGTGAACATGTTAACATGCTGATTTTAGCATTTAGCTCAAAGTACCACTGTGCCTAAGTAGAGCCTCATAGCATGGTTGTAGACTTTTAGTCTTGTTTCTCGTGAAATACTCAATACTTTCACCTATTCTGGCATCTAAAAAGCCTTCGGATTAAACTGTCTTTGTAGGAAAAGCCCTTCTGGTTATACTGCTGCTCAGCTAATGTCCAAACCATCACCTGTAATGAGGGTTTGAAAATAGATATTACTTCATTTAAGGCATCATAAGCCAAAAAGGTTTGCAACCACTGCTATTAACCCTACATAACTATTTTGTTTCTGTCAAATATTGAGCTAAATGATCTATTCTTTTTTTTTTTTTTCAGCTCCTCTTTAGTAAAAATAGAAGCCTTCTTTGTTCAGTTGTGGTGCTGGCAGAATTTATCAAATGATTTGATCTTATAGAGGAAACAATACTGTGCTCAAATACCAAGACACTCATCAGTTAAAGTTAACAGCAGAGCTCTCCTCTCCTCTCCTCTCCTCTCCTCTCCCATCCTCTCCTCATAACCCTCTTCTCAGCTTGAACACTCAGTCTAATTGACTAAGAAATCAGAAGATAGCAGGAAGCCAAACCACACAGCCAAGGGCTTAGCTAAGCTTATTTCTGGCATCTTTCTCCCCACAATATAACTCATATGTCCTTCCTTTTTGCCTCTCTCACCTACAGCAATAAATAGCAGGCTACAGTAAAGACACACTCTGTATAAACAGTATCACATGGCTTTACACAATGCAAAATGTTTTTAAAATATACTATAACATTATCTGAAGTTATGTCAGTGTACTATTTAAATTTCCTGAATAAATGATAATAACACGAGACAACTTAAAATCTATGCCTTCAGTGAAGGAGGAAGTGTTATTTATCATTTCATTTATACTTTGCAAAGAGGACCTTCCATATGGCAAACATTTTATTTTGGTTTACAGCTAATAAATGTAATGCAGGTTTCACATAGGTGGCCATTTTGTTACAATACAACATGCAACTTTATTTGCAATGCAAAACATTGTTTTTTTTCAATTATCCCATAGAAACTTTTTTTAATCATCTTCTCTGGCCATTAGGTTGACTTTACATACACTCATCTTCCAGAGAAAGCTTACAGTCTCTTATCAGCATCAACACAAGTGATTATCCAGTATTATTTTCTGCACATTACTTGTGTGTACTCTACTCAATCCCCTCTTCTGTATATTTTTTCATTAATGGCACAAATGTTTGGGAACATGAATTAAGCCCATTTTAAAAACCTCATTTACATTTGAGGTTGCTTTTACGCATTGCTTCACTTGTCTCTAATAAGGAATATAGTTTCTTGTGAGGAAACTGAAGACGTCTTGTAGGTGAAAATCTGTTTTTGGGGACTAACTGTCTGACATCTCTCTTCTGCCTCTGCAGGTTTTGGGATGACAACGCCTGTGACAGTTGCAGGCAAGGTGTTCCTGATCTTTTATGGGCTTCTAGGCTGTGCTGCCACCATCCTCTTCTTTAACCTCTTCCTGGAGCGCATCATCACACTTCTGGCCGTGGTGATGAAGGCTGTGAGGGAGCGGCGAATCAGGAACAGTGGTCTACTCCCACCAGGCATCCGCCATGACTTCTCGGCCTACTCCCTGCCAGGCTGGAAGCCCTCCGTGTACCATGTGATGCTGATTCTCGGCCTGTCAGCCATCACTATATCCTGCTGTGCTTCAGCCATGTACACCCCAGTGGAGGGCTGGGCTTACTTAGACTCACTCTACTTCTGCTTTGTCACCTTCAGCACCATCGGCTTTGGGGACTTTGTCAGCAGCCAGAGCGCGGCTTACAAATACCAAAGCCTCTACAGGGTGGCCAACTTCTTCTTCATGCTAATGGGTGTGTGCTGCATCTACTCACTCTTCAATGTCATTTCTATTGTCATCAAGCAGGTCCTCAACTGGATGCTGGAGAAAATGAGTTGCTTGTTTTGCCAGCGCTGCAATAAGGCCAGCGCTCTCCTGGGCAGACGTAATGCCATCCGACCGGGCTCTAAGGGTCGCCAGAGTCGGTTTGGCCAGCCGCCTGACTCCGATGGACCTTGTGATAGTGACACTGAGGGACGCAGACTCTCAGGGGAGATGATCTCTATGAAAGACTTGGCAGCCTCTAACAAGGTGTCGCTGGCCCTCATGCAGAAGCAGCTGTCTGAGTCAGCCAATGGATATCCCAGGACAGTCTGTGGCAGCTCACGCCATAATGGTTTCTCTGGGGGGGTTGGCGCCCTCGGTATCATGAACAACAGGCTGGCAGAGACGAGTAACTCCAGGTAGAGGATGTAGTGAGACAGGAAACAAAGTATGGGAGCTCTTTATTCTCATACTGTGTAACAACCCCCCTATTGATTGCCATAGAAAAAATACAAGGCTTTTGAAATGGATTGCCAGTGTAACTTGTTATGCATGATACCTATGATTTTTTTAGGGATCCTTTTGGTTGGAATTACAAGCCTGTGGTGATAATACAGGTAATGATGGCGATGGTTTTGTTGATGAATTTAATGATGATGGCATGAAGAGAGAACCACAGAGTCAACACGAGTTGATCTGTACACATGGGGACCACCCATCACCCATTTCATTAACCTCAAACCTGACCCAGAGCAAATCACTGAAGGTCTCTTAAATATCAGTGTTAGTCTGCAGCTGTATTATATAGTTATACACGCTTAATATATCAGACTTATACGGCTGAAATGTTGTGCTGTAAAGGAGCCAAGGGAAGCATGTAGTGCAATCTTCATAGTACTGAGGTTTTGCCAGTTTATTTGAATGTACATATTGAATGCTGATATAAACAAAGACAGGTGTAATTAATGAATGATATAGCACATCCTGATCTATGCATTATACTTCTCATGCATTTTTTGCACCATTCCATATCTTCCATTGATTGTGCCAACCCCATTTTTTTCTTGACACAAGTTAAGTTGTACCCTCAGTTGACTGATTTCATTTCTGGGGGTAAGCGTGGGAAGCAGAGTTTAGCTAAGCATGGCTGTAATGTAGCTGATTTCGACAGGGCTGTAGTGAGGGGCAGTTTTACAGTGTGCCACGCCAACAGGCTACAAAGAGTAATTTCCTATGGCTCGAGATGGAAAAAAGAGCAGAGTTGAAGAATGAAAAGCTTGTGAGAGAGGAACTGGCCTTCTTATCAGCTCAAAAAATGCTCCGGCGGCCATAGACTTTGACTTGAAGCGTACAAAAAGGCACCTTCCAAATCTCTCTCTCTCTCTCTTCTTTTTCAAGCTTACAGCTGTCTGCAAGTAAAATAAATTATAAAGGCTTGCATTGTGTGAATTCCTCTTTTAATGCAGAATGTAGACTTTTGTATTTGTAAAACAGAATAAATGAGAAGTAAATTGATGTTTGTTTGAAGTGAAATAGTAAAAGGGAGTGGAGGGAGGTGGAGGGGGAGACGAAATATGGATGGCTTTATCCCGTGGGCACATTATGTAAAATGATTCAGACTGAAAGTAAAAGTCAATCGTAGATGCTGAAGTGGAAAACAAAACCCTAAAGGATTCACTCGCTTCCACTGATTTAGCTTTTGTGGGGATTTTCTGTTTTCATTGAGGGAGACTTCTTCTTTGCAGATACATGGCTCTTTCTGTAAAACAAAGTATGATCCAAAAGCTTACAGAGGTAGAGTTTCCTCTTGATTTCGGAGTAAATGTATAGCCACGGTTTAATGGATGGCGGGTGTTCGCGGAGGATACGGCACTGCCTTGTCAGGCTGCACAATCAATGTCCTTGTTACCAGCAGCTATCTCTTCCAAGGCATCTGTGATTTAAAGCCATGTGATGGTGTGATGTTTTCGTAAACAGCAAGACAATGAAGGAGATGTTAGTTAGTTAAACTGTTCAGGAGACAGTGATAAAGGCAGGGAACTAAGGACAGGGGCTGGCAGCAGAAGAGGGAGAGGCAGTGGAGTAAATCGACTCCCTTCATATCCAAATGGATGCCCAATCCAAATCAATGGCCTCTCTCAGCCAAGGGCTCAACTTTTCCTGGTGTACTTCTTCAACATCTAATATCCTCCCAGGCTGCTCACTTTTTTTTCTCTTGTCATCTCTGCATTCACTTCACATACACTGCACCAAAACCCTCCTCTTTCCCTTTTCTCTCGGCTCTCTCCTCACGCTCATCACCCTTACACTGTGAATATGATGAGACATGACATAAATGTATATATAGTATTGGAATGTCTTAAAAAGCGCTTTTACAATAAGGCGTGAATTGGATCTGGATCTATACTTAGTTGATTTTCATCCTGTTCATGCATAGATCTGAATAATTTCCTTTACTCCCCCAGTCTCACCAAGAGGAATAGAGAAAATGACTCAGGTAGTTAAATCTTCAGGCTTGTCTTAGTTTTTCCTGCATGCCATTATGGTAAAGCCATACAAGATAGCTGTATATAAAACAGAGGACTCTTTCAAGTCTATTTTTCTACATATAGCTTTCAAATATCTACATGTGAATGATTGAAGAAGTCTCAATGTCCCGTGTCTCTTACACTGTCAGTCATCAGATTGATAAGATGCAATGTTCAAAATTAACTCTGCAGAAACATGGATGTTATGGTGACCAGATGTTAAAGAGTTGTTTTACATTTAGGAAAATATGCATATTTCTTTAGTTTGAGTTAGATGAGAAGATTGATACCTTTTTCACTTATAAAAAGGTAAATATGTTAGCTTAGCTTAGCATAAAGACTGGAAATAGTCGTAAAGCCACAGTGAGTAGTTTTTTCCCTTTGGTGATTCTACGTATTTAACAAATTAGATATATCATGTTAATTAGTGAGCTTCAGATGTGGTAATAGGGGAATCTGCTTACGTTACAACTGGTACCTGCCAAGAAATAGTCTGGTATAACTCACTGTAAAACAGTAAATGGTCAAAATGTAACATGTTGAAGTGTAAATGTGGTTTTCAGTGGCCTCTAGCAGTTCAGATTGCAACCACTATCTTCCCAGGCATGTGCGTATGCTCGAACTAATAAACGCGTCAAAACAGAGACAGACACACCGGAGACAGCATCATACTAAATGCTGGAAACTCAGGTAAACTCCCACTCAGGGATGGACAGTATTTATGATACATGTATTTAAAAATACTTGAAATACAAAATAGGGTTTTGTAATTTGTATTTCATAGGGTTGATAAAAATAGCTTCATATTTTGCATCAAAATACTAAAATACTGTAAAATTCTTTGTGAGAAGTCTACGTGATGACTATCTACTCAGTAATTTGCTCAGACTTTTTAATGTCAGAATAGAACATTTATCCAGACCCAAAGAAGAATGTCAAGATAAGAAACATGTACATTTACATTTACTCATCTGGCAGACACTTTTATCCAAAGCGACTTACATTTGAGGAACAACATACAAGCATCAACAGAGCATCAACTACAGATCTACAACTGACAATACATACAAGCAGCAATAAGTACTAGTAAGAGCTCACAGTACATATCACATCAATGGGGTAGATACCTAGGGAAGGAAGTAAGAGTTAGCAAAAAGTGCAATCAAAACAAAAAGTGCAATCAATACAAGATCATTGTAGGGGATAGAAGAAGAAGAGCACAGGAAGTGCATGTTAGAGGTTAGGAGTTAGAGGTGTTATAAGAGGAAGTGTTCTCGGAAGAGATGAGTTTTCAAGAGCTTCTTGAAGTTAGAGAGGGACGCCCCTGCTCTGATGGCGTGTGGTAGCTCGTTCCACCATCGTGGTGTCACAGATGAGAATAGTGTGAAGGGATGGCAGAGCCAGGCAGCGTTCGTTGGAGGAGCGTAGCGGCCGAGAAGGAACGTAAGTTTGTATTATGGAGTTTAGGTAGATGGGTGCAGACCCAGTAGTCACTCTGTATGCAAGCATTAGTGACTTGAATTTGATTCTGGAGGCCACAGGGAGCCAGTGGAGGTCATTGAGTAATGGAGTGACATGAGTCCTATTGGGCTGATCAAAAACCAGACACGCTGCTGTGTTCTGAACCATTTGTGTAAGATGTAGGTGTGTATCTTTCCATCAAATGTTTAAGCATAAATTGTTACAGTTCTTGACAGTTCCTGTTAAGTTTTGGTGTTTGTTTTAGTGGCCTAGGCTAAATTGTTTACCAGTTTACGTAATGTTCTAGCTTACTATGTGACCCAAGTAGCAGCCCTCACAGTTAACATCAGCTTACTACTTCCAGCCTATGTTAAATATGAATCAGTTGTGCACGGGAAAAATTACAATAAAACGTTTCAGAGTTGAGCAAACTGTCAGTCAGTCTGTCACTCACATTGTGAGTCAGTGTACTGGTGAAGGGATAAATCAAATAGGCCCATAGATAGGTTTGCAAACTGATTTCATGGTACCTTGGAAAAGTATTTTTAGTATTTTTGAATTAGAAAAATACAGTAGTTTTTTATGGTACATGGCATGGCTACTGTATTTTGTAGTTTATTTTGATACACTTAATACTAGGGTATTTGGTATCTTATTTTAACACACTGCAAAGCATGTGAAATATGCTTTATATACATGTAAAAATAATTGTATTAAAATATTTATGCTGTATTTTAACGTTACAGTAATATTTACATCAGCTTGATGGTGAACTAATCCATGCTTGTTGAATGATAACGTTATATTGACCGCATTTAGCCGACATAATACACCGCTGTTAGCTAGCATGCCAGCTTTTTATTAACTTTTTGTGTATCTTTCTAGACTGAATATTATGAGTGTAACAGCCAGACCGCAGTAAGTAACTTTACAGTAGTGGATGGGTCTTCCACAGTGGTGTTGCCCTGCACTGTTATGTTGCATTATTGTATATTATGTGGATATATTACAGCGACTGAGACCGGCGAAGAAGCTGAGTACCTAAGTATCAGTATAACAACCATAAATCTAAATTGAAAGCTGCAAAGCCAACAATGCCAGATCCATGCTAATCTAGCTGGCCGCCCCTGCCTTGCATCACTATTATTTTTAAAAACACACTTCACATTTGTGTCGTACCGTTACATCATTTCTTGCAGGCTAAAATCAACACTTTGACGTAATACTGGTACCAGCATTTACAGCATTTTGGTGAAGTAATGTTGCAAGCCATACAACTAAAGTATTTTGCAACAGATAACGTTAGCAACTGGTCGTCGTTTGCCAGCAAGCTGACATTATCTACCTTGAGCCAACTAAAGCACAAAATCACAATATATTTCACACGCTTTTCAGTAATGTTAGTCTGTCCAATAGGATGAAAGCCAACTCTGGGTTTTTATCTAAAACAAAACAGGTCTTTCCATCACTCAAGCGCCTTTTCGATGTTAACTATGTTTTCACCCGTCGATCTGATTCTCATTTGGACTGACTGTACATAAACTTTTTTCTTTTTTAACCTAATTCATGGAGTTTGTGTTGGAGTCTGTGTTGTGCGTTTTTTGGTGTTAGCGGACTCCATTTTGTTAGCTGCGGTGTTGTCACTGTGTATACAGTTCAGAATCAGTAGGCAAGATGCTCAGGAGCGAGCATGAAAGTCCCAACCAATGTAAACCAATGGCTTTGGTGGAAACTCTGATCCGCTTTCTTCACATAGGTAGCAGCAAAGAGGGCGTCAGAGGTAATGGAGAAAGTCGTCAAATGGTTCATTTTTATGTGAGGTTACAACCCATTCACAATAAAAAAGTGATTCATTTCATTAAAAAAAACTACATATAGCCCCTTTAATTGTAGAGCTTTAGAGCCAGGCTAGCTGTTGCTCCCCATTTTCCAGTCTTTTCTATGCTAAGCTAACCAGCTGCAGACTCAATCAGGCTTTGTCACAAGATGGTTCGCTAATTAACACATTATATATTATTTGTTAAATTTGTACCAATATTGGAGAGGTAAAATAACTACTTTTATGACTAGCTAGAGTTTTCCTCTTGTTTCCAGTCTTTATGCAGAACTAAGAAAACCCGCTGTTGAGTGTAGCTTTACTACCATACAGTCATTAGAGTGGTGTCAATCAACTCTGACTCAAAAGCATATATTTCCCTAAATGTCACTTTGCTCCTTTAACAATTCCCAACAGAGAGGCTCATCAGCAGCGGAGTGAGCTTACTGTATGTTCGTGATGTGATTTGGTGCTTGCAGTGTTGGGGACGGGTTGTTTGTCACCACACTATTAGCAATGACATTGCTGACATAGGAAAGTTTCAAGCGGTAGCTGTGACATTTGAGCAGGAGTATGGGCATGCTGTAGCGAATGACATGCTGTAGATTGAATTTGATGGTGTTCCCCTGCTGTTATATGTCGGGGGGAGTTTTACCGGCACTAGAATAATAATTCCTGAATGATGTTGTATGTGAATTTTCATTTTCCCTCTGAGGCTTAAGGTTACAATGGCAGAGGTTTCAGGATTGTCTAATGATTTTTAAAAGCCCCTGTAGCTGTTCGGGTCTAGCTAGCTGCACTGTATTCTTAACCATACCGCTGACAAGGAGCATGTGTGTATGTATGCCTTTGTGTGTCCATACTGTGTGTAAAGGACTGAAAATAAGAATTAAAGGACTGTGATATTTTATCTTGAATGCTTTCCTAAACATAAGTTCCCCAGAAGGTATTCAGCTCAATCTAATATCAATTTAAATGTATTTTCCTTAGGCCTGAAATACATCAAGCTTTTAAGACATTAAATATAGTATTTAAAGTAATGTTTGCTCACCTAAAATGCATGCGTGGCTTGAAATCAATTGCCTTATTTTAGTCCTTGCATATTACAAAAAGGTTCCTTACTGAAAAGATAGTAGTGTGTAGAGCTTGTGTGTTATACAATACAATCTTTTTGCATTTTGCAAAATTGATCTCCATTGATTGCAATGGTTTTAATTTCCCCGTCGTCCTCTGTATCTTCTGTAAGAGGAGACAGGTGGTCTTAGGATTTACTGTATGTTTGTGTTTGTTATCAGCCGAAATGACTCCTAAGTGTGATATTGCTGACTTTTCCTTTTAGTGCAATGAATTCCTCTGATGTGCACAACAAACACAATCATCAACAAACATCAAACACAAAATTAAATTGAAAAGATGCAAAATCTTCAAGCCCACAGTATTAATATAGGCGAACATAGCAAACTCGGATCACAGCGCTGCATGATTTGCAGTAAAGTTGTCAGCGTTAATTTAATCTTAAATTCTTAAACACTGTCAGTGTTTATTCCAGTCAACACAAATTGTACTGTATTCATGCTGGAAAATCTGCTTCCTAGTCAATGGCACTCGACTGTAAAATAGCGCCATTAAAAAGTCATGCTCCATAGCCATTACAAGCCTCATAATAAAACTATTTGTTTGAAATAAGCAGAGACTGGAGATGCTGTTAGTTTTAATCTTGAAGGCTGTTGGTGGTGCTAATGGCATTATCATTTATTCAGTAATGCTATTATTGCTTTGTGATCACGGTATGATACATAACACTGTGCTCTCTCCAGATTCCTCTGATGAAGACTGTGTGAACTATTTTGTATTTTCTGTTAAAGATGCTTGTTTCAGGAACAAAATGTGTTTACAGTAATTTGGCTGGAGCACAGTGGACATGGCAGTTAGCAGCGGTGTCCAGGTAACAGAATGATGTATTGCTGCTTTGCTTGGCTGCTTCTGATCTTTAACACATTGTTGGAATTGATCTGGACACACAACATGTGTGACTGTTGTCTTTTTTCTTTTTGCTTGTATGACGACAGGTGGTATGGAGACACAAACCAAATTCAGATCTCAATTTAAAAAGAACTACGTAAGGTGTCTGTGATTCACAGTTATGTTGGCTTTTGGCTCTATCAACATCAGCATAATTCTACACCATGGTGTGTGTCTCATATTGCTTGCATTGTGGTGTAATATCCAGTTAATGTATGCAAATTAATTCTGTTTGCAAGTTGCACATTTATACCGATGATTGTACTTTTTATATTTATGTAATTAAAATTAAAACCTATATGAAACAAGGAGGGGTTCCATTAAACAATGATATTTACTGATATTGTTTTAATTTTCTTTTCTTTTTGTTATTCTCATATAATAACACTCACAACTTTAATGTTTGTGGATAATATAAATGTTTATGGACAACATAACATCATCCAGTATATTTGGGGTTTCTTAGGCTTTCAGAAAAGTTTCCCAGTCATAATTATGACTTGGATGTTGACATGAATGCTATTTACAAGCCAGAGATGACTCAAATTTGATATGACCACAGCATTAAGTTCACTAACGACTAGTACCACCTCCAGCAAGCTACTGCGGTTCATAACCCCTGTAAAACTGCGTGTTTAATGACTCACCAGGTATTTTATTACAACCTGGCAACAAAAAGTTCATAGTCTAATTAATATTTGTTAACAGAACAAGAATTACACATTCTGGCAATGCTGCAAAACTGCAAAAAGGCT